GCAAAAAAGACTAATTACATGTCAAAACTGTTAGAATTTGAACAATACGATTAATGTTTTTTTTATCCCTTTCGTACTTTTCATATTTGTCATCCCTTTCATTCCTTTCATCCCTTTCATACTTTTCGCGGTAATGTCGCTGTATCCCTGAATTCGAATCTGCTCATGATTTGTGCTGCTAGGTCTCGCAAGCACTGGTCTTCTATGAAAGCAGGTATCAACAGAGAAAAACACTTTTTTCGAAAACTTTTCTGTGATCTCTAGACGTATCTTTAAGGTTTCATTCTATGTTCTTACTGCAAAGCGTTGCACAATTTTCTTTTTTTCTGTTTCTGTGATGAGTATCACTGCGTGTATCTTTTGCAAGAATAAAAGAGCAAATCAATCTTAATACTAGAAGAATAGAGAGAGACGTACACCTCGAGCATATAACATCGCGCGTAGAGCAGTATCACGTCGTTGATGTGAAACATAAACAAAAGCTGTTGGCGCAATCCCTACGGGATTTAAAATGTGAAACACGATTGAACTATGAGTCATGTCGTCTCAAATCACTTGTTTTATTGTTATATGACGTAATCTATATAATAGCAATGTTCTCAGATATTTAGATTTAGTTGCAGTCACTCAAATAGTCTTGCAAGTATATTTCTGTTGATAGTCAATGTATTTCGATGACAAATCAACAATAATAAGAAAAACTAGCGCCTAAAAAATCAGTTTCGTGCGTTTAGAGGATTCTTTATCACGACTTTTAACTTTTCTTCATGAACGTACTATAGAAGGTACATCGTTAACACTCATCAATACGGATCTTATCCCTGGCGATACTCGTAGCATTGATGGACGTCCGATATTGATCGATTGGGATCAAGCAGCATATGGTTCATTTTATGTGGATTTACCAAACTATTTTTCTGTTGAAACAGCTTTATGTTACCGAGATGCTCTCGCTGAGCTTGGTTTAGATATTCTTCCAGCTGTATTTATGGATCATTTTCATGAAGTACGTCGATATATGGGCTTAAGATATCTTGAAGTAGGTCTTCAGGCTTGGCGATACAGTTCACCACGAAAAAAACATGAGCAATGAGGATGATTGGAATTCACAACGATGGTTCTTTCATTATTGCCTTGCCCTGGCTTTGAATGGATGATGGTTTTTGTTAATTGCTGAATATTAATGCCTTGACTGATTTTCACTATCCCTCACGAAAAACCAGGCAATGATACATTCAAAAGACAATCAGTTTGATTCCAGTGGGAGAAAGACGAACAGCTGAGCCTAAATAGTTCACATTAGATGCAGTTTCACGGCATTGAGCTAGTAGTTAGAAAGAGAAATACGTCAAAAGATCAGATATGGGGAGGGGATCGAACTTCATCATGTTACTCCCCGTTGAGTGAGCGCATATTTTGCAGGATCACTACGCTTGTTTCGGTGTCTGGCCTACGGCTCATAGCCATCTGCTTCAAGTTTTTGTTTCAAGAGTAGCAAGAGCACCTTGGTAGTTGGTCTTCAGTGTTCTTCCAGTCCGCCACTCTCGACTACCGGAGACCGCGTACTACATCTGCCATTGCAAAAGGCTCTCTCCAAAGTCATCGATTGTCGAAGAAATGAATCACTGGGCATGTAAGGGTAGCATCGATAGTTTACACAGTACAAGCGAACATTTTCCTCGCATTTCCGACAAAACTTCAAAGGGACTGAGGCAGCGAATTAGCGCTAAACAAAACGCTAGTTTGATTTCTGACTGTTTTCTTATTCGTCTAGATTCCTGTCGTCTTCATCGCACCTTATCGCCCTGATCACGCCATCTGAAATCCCTGCTTGGGAATGTTTGAGAGCGACGAGAGTGAGACGAAAGAATCCAATATACCTTGATCAATGAATACTTGATAGGATAGTTGAAGCTACCACTTCCAAAAGAAGATATTCTCTGCTGCCCATCTTGATCAGACGGTGCAGTTAGTGGGGCAGCACTATTATGCTTTTTTTCTCACTACTCTCTTTTCCGTATCATGTACATCTTAGTTCATCTGCCACTATATTCTATTGTTCAGGGTACCTTCTTCGAACATCTTCAATTTCTCAATAGATCAGATGACACTTATATGTATTAATGAGACGACACTCAGAAAGACATTTTGAAAAAGCAATGGAGCGACGTTCTTTCCTAGGGACTTGTGGTGTAGTGAGGTCGACAGTTTCTGCGCTTCAACGATCGTGCTAGACAATCGAAAGAATCCATCAATGAAATGTTTCTCGATCGTTTTCGACCACCTCGATCACGCAGCAGCTTTCCCTCGTCTTCACTATACCTACCAAGCATCTTATCAAGTAATCTATTACACCGACCATTGCCACTGCCCTACACGCAATCTGTGCTCTCCCTTTACGTTCGCTTTCGGTTTGCATAGCATCAGTCCATCTAGTACTTTTTCGATTTTCCTTCGAAAACTGTCGCGAAAAAATGCAGGAGAGAATGCATTTCACAGCACCACTGGAATCAAGTTTTCTTGCAATTGGAGCATCGAGAGAATGTCAGATGTTAGTAGGATATAGCATGCATGGTTGACAATGACATAGTCTATATCCAAACTACATCGAACAAGAGCAATGGAAGCTTAACGAGTTCAGAGGAGATCTGCGAGAGATCACTTCTCAGTAACGAATCCACATTGATCTGTGACTTCGACGGGCGCTCACAAACTCGTTCACATCCGTACATTCTGAAAAGCAGCTGTCTAACTTACATGGAAAAAGTAACGAGTCGCTCCATCCCCTGTCGCGGGACGAAGACACAAGGCACGAACCACGGCTGGTGGGAGAGATCCCTCCGTCACAATCGTCAGCATTATGACCGAAGCACGGCCGTCTTCACATACCTATATCACAGGGAAAGTTTATGACGATCCAGATCGATCACCAGTGAAGCGAACAAAGATCTACCACATTGACTGACAGGAACTTGCATTTCTCTCAAAATAAAGGTGATAGACGAAGCGACTGCGTCCTCGGATTGACTCGAACAAACCACTGAGCCTTAACCCTCCATTTCTTTTCTATCTTCCGAAGAAGACACCGATATTGTTACTACCCAAATAGAGGACCAAGCCCAACGATCATCTTTGTCTCACTAGCCATGCTATTCTTCGCGAGTAATACGCAACAAAGACCGACTTGTCTTCACATTTGCTGAAAAATCGACCAGTAAAATCGAGGGAAGACTTCCATCTGATGTTCAAGTGGTGTTTGACATCTCTGTTCGATTAGTCGTAGGTAGTACATGGAGATGACAAAACATTGAACCGATTGATTCAGGTAGCACGCTAGTTCCTAAGAGTCACGAGAGATATTCATGTGCCCACGACACAAACGCTTTTGATCCATGATGAGTCATGTCCCTTCAATCCAACCCTCTCTTTATTTATCGAAATGCACCTCTGATTCGAGTTCTCGACGTCGAAAAACCTCTAGAAATGCGTTTTTTGGAAAAATCAGATTTCGATGTTCTTTTGACCTCGGAAGTAGGATCCCGTCACATGACCCCCTACAGCATGTCTGACGGAATAGCATCCAGACTCGAGTTCGCGGCATCGAAAAATCCTTTGAAACGCATTTTTGGCGAAGTTCAGACTAGACGTGTCCCATTTACGTTTAGTTAGGACTAACTACTAACTTATCAAGTTAGTAGTTAGTCCTAACTTACTAACTTACTAGGCAATAAGTTACTTAACTTCTAACTTGGCAAGTTAGTAAGTTAGGACTAACTACTAACTTGAATAAGTTAAGTTAGTACACCTAACTTAACTTCGACTAACGTAACTTGCACATGTCTAGTTCAGACTTCGATGTTCTTTTGGTCTGCGACAAACACACACACACAACCGCTTTTTTTTCATATGACCCTCCTTTCAGTCGAGGGAACATCCAATGTATGAGCATTAAACTTCGTGACATGGAGCGCCATGTGCAAATCTTGTGCGAAGAAATGCTGGCCTTGCGACGTCAGAAAGTGAACGGCGACGAGAAACTTCGACGTCATCAAATCGAAATAGAAGGGCCGAGGACACAGCAGGCTGAACAGCAACGGCGAGTGCAACTTCTCGAAGAAAAGGTTTCGTGCTGTGCTGGATATCATTTACCAACCTGTGCACTACTTTCTTCGGGAATTAGACCATGCACAGACACATGAATTCCTAAGACCAGCACCAGCCTCAAGCTAAAAATTTCACTTGTTTGTTCTTACTCTTCTTTTGTTTTGATTGTTAATCATTTGTGAAATAAAGCTCTAGCCAAGTCTAGTCTGCATTGGCCAACTTAGAAAAGGATGCCTGAACCAGACAGATTCTATGATCCGCGAGCCCGAATTCTATCTGTCTTCCTTCATATGATAGTAGATGCATTGTTGTATGAACATAAAACAAAGCATATTCGTGTTAGTAGCAATCCCATTATACAGGTAGCACGAAACTGTTGAAGTCTATTCTTGCTTATTGACTTCATATGTACCTTACTTCGATCTGTTTTGTTGTCATGATTCATCAGTCAGTTGGATAATTGGTCCATATCGATAACTAACCGGACATTGGAAGATGTGGGTTCGATTCCCACTCTGGTTTTATGATCCTCATTTAAGAAGTCTTTCGCACTTATTGAAGCATAGTCACTGTGGATACATTCGATTTCGAAAATGATTAGCAAACGGTGTGAACAGATAAATTGTTACAACAGATTTAGATTCTTTCTATTTCTTCTTCATACTCACCCACCCTGCATGTGCATGTAAATCAGCACAAGTGAATAGATTTTAACCCAGAAGATTCATAAAGGGTCGGATTCGGTCGGATCTGCGGGTAGGATTGAATCTTCTGGGCTGTTTTATTTTAATCTGATATATTTCATTTACTATACACACATATTCATCTCTCAAGAACAGAGTCTCTCTGTCTGCACCCCCATACTCTTTCTATTCAAATTATTTATTTATTTTAAAAAACATCTACAACTTCTTTTCAACATTTTCGAGGTTTCTTTTCCATTCTTGCAGACGAGAATGATTTTCAGGTAATGAACGTTGTCCAATTTCAACAGCCCGAGAATAATATGAAAATGCTTCCGGGTATTCTCGCATATTGTCGTATATCAACCCGATATCATTATACAAAAGAGCCAAATCACGATGGTTTTCAGGGAGAACTTTTTGCCAAATTTCATGTGCTTTTTCATGATATGAAAATGCTTTTGAGTACTCACCTATCTTGTTATACATTCGACCAATATTGTTGTAAGAAAGAGCCAAATCAGGATGATTTTTAGGAAGAGCTTTTTGTCTAATCTCAAATGCTTTCTCAAGATATGAAAGTGCTTTTGAGTACTCATTCATCTCGTTATACACTGCACCAATGTTGTTGTAAGAAACAGCCAACTCAGGCTGATTTAGAGGATGAGTTTTTTCTCGGATTTCAAGCGCTTTTTCATGACATGAAAGTGCTTTTGAATATTCACCCATTTCGTGATACACCCGGCCAATATTGCTGTAAGAATTAGCCAAATAAGGATGATCTGGAGGAAGAAATCTTTCTCGGATATTGAGTGCTTTTTCATGATACAAAAGTGCTTTTGAGTACTCATTCATTTCATTATACACCCGACCGATGTTGCTATAAAGAAGAGCCAAATCAGGATGATTTGAAGGATGAGTTTTTTCTCGGATTTCAAGTGCTTTTTCACTGAGTGAAAGTGCTTTCGAGTACTCGCCCATGCGAAAATACACAGTACCGATGTGGTTGTAGCACTCAGCCAAATCAGGTTGATCTAGAGGAAGAGTTTTTTGTTGGATTTTAAGTCCTTCTTCGTCATACGAAAGTGCTTTTGCATGCGCACTATCAATGTTGCTATAAGAACTAGCCAAGTCATGATGATTTGAAGAAAGGATTTTTTGTCGGATTTCAAGTGCTTTTTCATGGTATGAAAGTGCTTTCGAATACTCGCTCATCTTATGATACACAAAACCGATAATATAATAAGTTGCAGCCAAGTCTGGATGTTCTGGAGGGAGAATTTTTTGGTTGATTTCCAGTGACTTTTCTGCATATGTAATTGCTTCTGCATATTTTCCTTCATCTCTATTGATCGTTCCGAGATGGTGATAAATGTTGGCTTTCTCTCGATGATCAGCTGTCTGAACGAGCAATATATCATAGACTTGTTGTGCTTTATCAAATTGTCCAAGTTTAATCAATAACTGTCCTAATCGCTTCCATCCTATTTCATGTGGAGATGTTTCTGCTCGTATGTGTTCAGTTAATGCGTGCAGTTGTGTATCATGATCTCCAGTCAGAGTCAACTCTACTTGCCAAAGTCGATCATTGTCATCGATTTGCTTGATTTCTCTAATACGAAATATCGAATGCATGGAAAAGAGAATTTCCTGTTCTTCCCGATAATGACTAATATCACGAACATTGGCGTACGGAGTTAATGAAGTCGATGAATTAACAGTTATTTCAAAGAGAATACCTAGTAAATATGGATTATCTAGATAACTTTCAGTGAAAGCAAGAGAGACTTGTCGGTCAAGACTAGTTGATAAAAAATTATTAAATGATAATAAACCACCTTGTGTTTTTATCAATTGGTTAAAGTCTGTCTGAGACAAACCTTGACCACGGTAGACAGTGAGCGTGCCGGTCTCAGCTTGTTCACAGTATTGTTCCGAATAAATACGAGTGATGTGCTGATGAAGATCAGAAAGGAAAAAGCCCAACTTGATGATAAGGTTGATATCCATTATTCGTAAAGCTCGATTAAGCATAGAATAGAGAAAACATTGATGGCTATACCACCAGATTGGTGTACGTCGATGATATTCATTTTCAAATTTTTCGATATGACGAAGTTCGGCTGGATTGTCAACAAACTGTTCCCGACAGTATGTGATAAATGTTTCGAAATGTTCTCTTTGAAAATCAATAGTTAAGAGAATTTCCTTTAGTATCTGTGTATACATGAAGGATTGATCGAGTTGATCGAGAGTTTTAGTTGTTGGATCAACATTCGTGGGTACGAAGCTCATCGAGATGGTGTTTCGATTGCATTTATGAATGGCTTTTTTCAGTGCTTCAAAGATTGGTTGAATATTTGTGAAGATACCTTCTATTTTAGACCATTGATCTACCCATTCTTGATTTCGAGCTTTGTTCTCACAAAAAATGTATATGGTACTAATCTGTATCATATCGTGAATCATTGGAACTGCTATTTGATCAAATGCGCCCGACAAAATCACAAAGACCTTTTCTACCCTGATGTCAGAAATGAAAGTGACACATTCTTCTATATTGGTGAATATATTCACTGCATTAACCACTTCTCGTAGTTTAATAATAATATTTTGACAATCAATGTTATTCTCTTCATCAATGTTCTCGTTCAACCAGACCACAAGGAAGTTTTGAACTGTACCACCATAAAGTCGACGGGATTGTTTACACTTCTCCATATTGCATACAAACAATAGAAATGATAGTTTTGATTGTATCTGCCCGTAATTATAATAATAGAAAGACTTCTATTGATTTTCTTTTCAGTGATGATAAACTTGAAACTTGAATTCAAGTATTCAACTATTATACTTAAATACTTGAAAACTTGAACTATTCAAGTATTTAACCATTTAAATATTAAATTATTCAAATATTCACCCTCATCCCTTCTGAACACTGGATCCCGTAAATGAATTACATAATAATTCAAAAATAAATTACCAAATAATTCCAAAGGAGGTGCGCGAATGAGCCCATTTTTCGATCCCCCTTAGATTCGGTTTATTTGTTTATATTTTGAATCGGGATCGATGCCTGATCAACTTTCGTTAATCGATTTCCCGAAAAAATCATTGTGAGATTTTTTTCACCTGTGGCACCCCTCAGAAATCATGAAAAAAATCTCTTTCAAAGTGATTGGAAACTATATGCATTTG